CAAGCAAACTGTATATCATCTTTAATCTATCAATATACCTACTTCAATCTAAGTATACACAACTTTCAAACTAACGGTATTTAACACTCAAACTAACTATACATCACTTTCAAACTAACTATAAATCATCTTTAATATATCTATATATCACTTTGATGCCTATTATGCATCACCAACAAGATAACTATAAATAGCCTTTAAAATAAATACAAATCACTTTTAGAGCTATATATTTTTTCAATCCAACTATGAACCACCTTGAAGACAATTGTACATCCCCTTCAAGCTAATATGCTAAGTTAACTATACATTACCATCACACTAATTATATATCAATTTCAAGGTAACTATATGTCATCTTCAAGATGACTATATTTCCCCCTTAATCTAACTATATATCATCTCTCAGCCAAGTATAAAATACCTTTAAGCTAACTATACTTCACTTTCATGCCAACTGTACATAACATCTATACTATCTATGTATCTCCTTCAAGCTAACAATGCTTCAATTTCAAATTATATGCTACATCCAAGTTAACTATACACCAACTTCACGATAAGTATACCACATTCATAATAACTATGAATCACTTTCTGGATAACTACGTGTCATCTCACCCTAACTACATCACCTTAAAGCTAACATCACCACATTCAGGCTAACTTTACATCATCTTCAAGCAAATTGTATATCATCTTCATTATAACTACACATCATCTTCAACTTATGTATTCACATTCAAGCTAACTACACATTGCCTTCAAGTTAATTATATATTACCTTTAAGCTACTGATATATCAATTTCAACTTAACTATACATTAGCTTCAAAATAACTATAGATAGTAAATAACTATACAAATTCTTTAAGATAACTATATGTCACCTTTAAGTTTGCTGTAATATATAACCCTTAAGCTAACTATACAATATGTGCAAGATAGCTTAAGATTACTATCCACCATCTTTAAGATAACTATACGCTTCTATTAAGCTAATCATATATCACCTTAAACCAAACTATACACTACCTTCAAAGTAACTAGATACATCACGTTCGCGCTAACCTTTTATCCTCAAGATAACTATATGCTACCTTCAAGCTAACTGTACATCACCTTCAAGATAACTACACAACACCTTCTAGCTAACTAAATGTTAACTTGAAACTAAATATGCATTACTTTCAGGCTAGTATTTATCACCTTTGAGATAACGATATATTAGCTTCAAGCTAAGCGTACTTCATTTTAAGATAATAATACATAATCTTCAAGATAACTATTTATTACCTCAAGTTAAGCATACATAAATTTCAAGGTAATGATATACCACCTTAAGTTATCAATATATCTCGTCAAGTTAACTCTATATGATCTTCAGGCTAATATTTTCAAAACGAGACCCAAGTTTTGGGTCTCGTTTTGAAGATATTACAACTTTTGTGGGTGATCCTGTGTGCTAACTACTTAATCTGGATTTTGATTTTGAGGCTAACTACACCTCACATTCAAGATATATATATATATATCAAACTGAAGCTAATCATATATCAATTTCAAGATAATTATATGGTATTATAAAACTCACTGTACATTGCTTTGAAGCTAATCATCCTCTTTCCTTAAATTAATTATCTGTTATCTTCAAGCGAACTACACATCATTCTCAAGCTAACTATACATCACCTTCACGTTAGCTATCTATAAAAAATAATTATACACTACCGTCAATCTTAATATACATCACCTTCAAGTTAAATATATTCTACCTACACCTATCTATACATCACCTTAAAGTTAAGTGTACATCACTGTAAGGAAAACTATATATCACCTTAAGCTAATAGTACATCATATTCATTCTAGCTATATATCACCCTCAAGTTAATAATACATTAATTTCATTCTAACTATACATCACCTTCGTGTTAATTATAACACCACCTAAGACCTAATTATGCATCACCTTCAAACTAAATATACATCTAATTTAAAATAACTGTATATAAATCTCAAGGAAACTATACATCACCTTTACAGTCGCTATTTATTCTTTTCATGTTAAGTTTATAGCTATCTTTGCGTCATCCTCAAACTAACGATACGTAATTTTTAAGCTAACTACAGTCTTGGCTAAAATGTTTGCATATTTTATAACAAATAAGATAAGTATTATCAAGATGGAATAGAAATACACTGAGAAATGAATGTCATGTTAAATATCTACATATGTAATTTGTATAATGAGACAGGTTCTATGGACATCATGAACAACTTATTAGAACAGCGAACAATTATAGAAATATGTGTGATTCAGTATTGCACCTATCACAACAAAACCTTACCAAAAATATATATAATGACAAAATATTATAAATAGCGTCTGTAACTTCATATCAGTTCATATTAAACATCTAGTACTTGGTCGATCCTGCCTGTACTCTAATAACCTACGCAAGGTGGCGTGACATGCTGTAGATGATGTTATTAATGTAATCCACCGTAATTTCATACCACTTGTCACTAGAAGGCGCTGCAACCCAGCTACAGTAGCTGGTTTAGGGTCGTGGTTAGCAGTTTTCTAGTTCAGTTCTGTCCAATAGTTCTCAATGGGATTACAATCTGGAGACTTTGCTGGCCATGGCAATCTTGTAATGTCTTTTGGTCGAGAAAATCCTGTACAGTACGCGCACTGTGAGCAGTAGCATTGTCATTCTGAAACAAATAGATGTTGCCAAACCTTGCTCTAGCATATGGCAGAAAAATCGTCTCCATGTGATGCCTGTAGACGTTTCTCTGGAAGATATGAAGAGCAGTTTTTCCACCATGATGAACAGCTGTCCAAACATGTACTGCACCACCTCCTGTGTGTTCTCTGTGAGAAATACAATCTTTCCTCATCTGTTTTTCAGGCAAACGACGAACACGAATCCTACCATCAGCTTTAACAAGCCGGAAACAGGAATCATCTGAAAAGATGGCATGTCGCCAGTGCCCTAATTGTAAGTTGGCATACTGTTTTGCCCAAGTAACGCGGTGACGGCAGTGAATTCTGGTTAATATCGGTTTGCAAAATAACCTTGTTTGGTCAGTCTCCTATTCGTTGTTCTTCTGGATACCCTGGAATGAATGTGTTCATGCCATTCCTGTTGTAAGGTGTTTCGAGACTTCTTTCGATCTTGATGTGTTAACCTGATCATCGTCATTTCGGGCAGTAGATTTTCAGCGTCTACCAGTACTTGAACAACGATGAAGTTTCCCTTTGCTCTATTTCTGGACAGTCGAACAATTTGATGTCCTATAATTTCTGGCACGTGACGAGGCATAGCTCTACACCAAGAACAGATAAATTATCTGAACAAAGCCAGATCTGTTTTATACAAGACAGGTATGTTTGTGCATTTTGACGAACAAATGCTTAAAACAACTTATGTAAACCAGAATATCAACTCGTACATGTCCGATCATACGCTACTTTCTCTGTTACTACTCAGGCACTTACTCAATAACTACTCCATGCATGTAGACAATAACATCAATATAGAACAGTATGCAAACATTTTGGCCAAGACTGTACATTTATCATCTTCAAAGAACATATGTATCATCTTCAAGCTATCAATATATGAACTTCAGGTTACCAGGACATCGCCTTCAGGTTAACTATACATCATTTTGAAGATAGCTATAAATCACGTTCAGCATAATTATATATCACCTGTAACTAACTATACAATATAAGCATACATCACGTTCGAGATAACCATATACCACCTTTAAGGTAACAACACATCACCTTTAAACTAACTGTACATCACATGAAGGTAAATATGTATCACCTTGAGGATAACTATGTATTTCCCTCAAACGAACAAATATATCATTTACAAGCTGATTATACATCACCCTCAAGCTGACTATACACTGCTTTCAAAAAGACTATCTCACACAGACGATATCTGTACATCACTTTTAAACTAACTATAAACCATATTCAAAATGATCATTTATCCTCTAGAGTTACTAGCTGTACATCACTATCAAGCTACTTATACATCACATTCAAGAACACTATACGTCACATAAGAGCTATCTGTACATCACCTTCGAGTTAACTATATATTATCATTCAATGAAACTATGTATCATCTTCTATTTAACTATGTGTCATCTTCAAGATAAGTATATATCACCTTCAAAACAACTATGCATAATCTTCAAACTACCAGTATATCACATTCAAGATAAGTATATGTCACCTTCAAGATAAGTATATATCACCTTCAATCTACGTATACATCAACCTGAATGACCTAGATGACACCTGCAACTTAACTACTTGTCATCTTCAAGATAAATACATACCACTTTCAAGCTAACTTGATATAACTCTGAAATTTACTCAAATCATCTCGATATTACTCTTAATTTTTCTCAAGGTATTGTGATTTTACATTAACTTTATGTAGACTTTATGTTTATGTTTATGTTTAACTTTATGTTTATGTATTAACTTTACTCTTAAGCTTTCTTATACAAATATGGCCCTTAAGGTTTTTGATACCAACTATATCTTACTTTCAAGTTTTTAAAGCATCGTGATTACTGTAGGTGATGCATTCTACAAATTGGAGCAACAAATTATCTGAACACAAACATCCATCTTTTCTGTTCCGGTGCTAGTTATACACCATACTTTTGTTTTGTATCAGTGCTGTACATCACATGTTAGACTTTTCTCACATGTACTACTATCGAAAGAAACACATATTCTCGGAACACGGCTTTAAACATAAACACAAGTTATAAACCCTTGCATCAGTACAGAACTTAGATATAATAGTCTGGGTATAGTTTATTACGTGAGAGATGTCGTTCCCTAGTGAAAAACGATGTTATATTTTGGGGGAATTCTCAGTGTATTGTTCTGTCATGCTTCATCGATGTTCCAGTGGTTATTTAGGGAAGACACATATTTGTAAGTTTCAAACTTACCTCATCTCCCCATTTAAACGGATCACCTTCCCTTTGCTTGTGTTGTTCGTAGTGGTAGATGAACTGGCTGGAAGCAATATTGCGCACTTCTCCCACGTGTTGAAGAACCTCTGGCCAAGTGAAAGCTCGAGCTTCGTCTAGCAGCCTCATCGTTTCTCTTCTGCCTTGTCGAACGCACAAATCTAGCTGTTTGGTGATATCTAAGGAAGATATGATGTGACTCACAGGGTGCTTCAGCTTTCGTGCTTGCTTCACAGGGACTGCGAAATGAAGAAAGACGATGTAAGTATCACGTGATCGCTTTATCGCTGCTACTTGGCATGCGTCCACCACTGAACGTGCCCTTTTCTACTATTTCTAACGTGTCTAGTTTTATCTCTTATGAGAGAATAACGAGAGTAAATATGTACAATACTGATGTATAACTTTCAACCGGCTTCAGCAAAATGATGGCACAAGTTTATTTAGAAGGTCATCAATGTAAGAAAACCCTGAATACAGTATGCCACTCCTTCTCATGCGAAGACAACAAATGTCTGTTGGTAACGAAGAAAAGTTTTTTAAGTAAATTGGTAACGTAAATTATACAGTTTTTAATTTCGTTACTTTTGTTAATTGATTACATGAAGTCAGTGGTGTTTCAAGGAAATAGTCCTCTTGTTTTATTGTCACATTAAAGTTATACTGGCCCTCGTTCTCTTTTCAGAACCATTTCACTTTCATAATCTGAAATTCTATATATGGCTGATTCATATTTTTGCTGTATATGATTTTGTTTGCATCTTATCCGAATCAGATGTCTAGTGTTTCTCACAGTCCACGGGTGCTATGGCAACGCAACATAGTTGACCGCGTCAGTAACCAGATTTTTAATTGCTATTGAGAGAGCCAAGTTTTTTTAAAGGTAGGATATTTTTATAAACCATATTCAGAGTGTGGCGGTACTTGTAAAGCCGTGTTATTACTCTTCTTCAGGATTTTTAAGCTCTTGCACAGTCATTGTAGTTCATGCCTTAAAGTTTCCCCGATGGTTCAGTGGCAAGTCTGAGGGTTTATAAAACTACTTGTAATTTAACGAATATTTTAATACCAAACAGTTGTGTATATTAACTCTGATGAAGCTGCAAAGGCGAAACGATGGTTAAAGTAAAAATGTTCTTTATATATATCTGGTGCTTGAAAATCGTTTTTTAACACTTTTTATCGAAATGTGTAAATCCCTCCAGTACGCACTACAAATTTTGCAAGATATACAAAGCATAGGCGTACATAGAAAAGTGGTTCAGGTCGGCCATGGTTCAGCCAAGTGCAAAAGTAAAAGAAAAGATGTAAATACTCTTGAATTACTGAAAATAAGGGAGTTAAATAATATAAAACACAAACTTCAATATTTTATGGGGGAGTAGTAAATTTTGCACATGTCTACGGCCTTCAGTGATTATTTAAAAATACCTTCATTTCTGCATATCAACATTTACGTAGTATTAAAAATTCTAAGTAGTACGGACGATTTTTTTTTGTTTTTTGTTATTTTGCTTTCAAATATATATATGATCCATTTCCTCTAGAATATTTTGTGTTTTACGGACATAACATTTAACGTACACATGATGTTCAGTGTTTTTTCCCGTTTTTCTTGGTACGAAATGTTGTTGTTGTTTATTATTAAGCACGAAAGGGTTGTTAAAACAGCGGGGGGTCACGTGACGCTAGTAACATGTCATATTCTCGAACGTTCACGTCCCTTCCTGAAGCCTCGAGAGGTTACAAGATATGCGGTATTCTTGTATATATATAAGACCGGTAAGAAGTGACGGCAACAATGTAATGTAATTGAACTGCAGACAAAGAGAGACTGACGATTGAGTCGAGCACGTGAGTGGTTCGTTGTGAATTAAAGCGTTGTTATAGCGTGACTGTGGAAATTAAGTGTATTGCAAAGTTGTATTTAGAAAGAATAAACCAGTTTTATTTTAAAAAAAGACTTGTATCGCTAAAGTTTCTTCGCAAAGATTTTTTTATGGAAAATTAACTAACGAGCAGAGGCTTAACTAATTGGTGTCAGAAGTGGGATGAAAAAAATAATAGAAACGAGAAGCGGCAAATCAAACTACAGCTTAGCAGATTTGATGGCAGCAATACAAGAGCAGCAAAAGAAACAAGAAGAGAGATTACAGCAGTGGCAACTAGAACAAGAAAAGAAACAAGAAGAACGAGAAAAGAAACAAGAAGAGAGATTACAGCATTTGCAAGAAAACCTGAAACAGTGGCAGCTGGA